TGGATGTACACTTTACTCTGTCTGTTAGGGGTTTCTATGCAATTGCATAGTTTATGCATTAATCCCTTCCCTTAAAAACTGCTCAGAGGTGGATGCATTTTAAAAAGCAAACAGACTATTTATGCATTCAATGAACATGGATTATGCCTGTGTCTCTGGCCTTCGTATTTCATGTGTTTAGGAATTACTCATGGAGAACTTTCTCCCAATAATATTATTCGACTTACTGTAACATAAAAGTCATTTTTTGAAGCTGTTGTAACTCCATGCATGTTCCATTTCAAGAAATAAAGTTGGCTTTCATTACAAAATGCTATTTATTGAAATAGAAGTCATTGTACAGAAATATATAAATGTAATTTAATTTAGATCATTCCAAATGTATTTAATCATAACTATGTTTAAGTTCCAGGATCCAAATATTGTGAGAAAAATGTATAACAAAGACTATCATAAGTAATATTTAACCTTTAACCATATACCTAAATATGTACATAAATCAGTGATGCGAGGAAAGAGTTTCAAAACCAAAATATGAAAAGGACCAGTTTTAGTAGCTAACACCTATATACCTCTCACTTTATACCAGGCAATATGGTAGTTGATCTTCAGGCCAAATCTTTTAAGAGAAGTACTAGTAATACTTTCCCATTTTACAGATAGTGAAACTGAGATAAAAAGACGTTAAGGAACTTGCTGGAGATTGCAAAGCTAGCAAGTAGTAGAGCCAGGATTCTGACCCTGCCATTTGCTACTAGAGGCATCTTTCTCAACTGCTGGTAGAGCCTCCAGGGAAACCCATGCACCTGAGCCCAGGAGACTGTACAGGACTGTTCATGCCTTCATGTCCACAGTAACAAAACAATGGAGCAACCTAAGTGATCAGCAATAGGGGAATAGAAAAATATACTGATATGATTATATATCATATATGACATACATCTAGATTAAATTATTCATCAGGTGAAATAAGTGTGAGAAAAAAACAAGTCATCTTTTCTGTCAAAGAACAGTTTAGGCAGCAGCCATTTTGGACTGTGTAAGTTGGCAGTCGCCATGTTGGCTACATGGCTTGCAGCTCCCCAAGGGGCTGCCATCTTGAAACGGCAAAGGTCAACCCCTCCCTTCAAACTAGCCAATTGCAAAAGACTGTGCGCCTCAGCTCCAATCAAAAGTGAGGGACAGGTCACGTGCTGGCAGGATTAAAATGCCAAGCAGACCACCTGCTCAGTGTGAGCATGCTTCTAGACCATGTGCTGCACACCCTCCTGCGTAGAAGTGAAGATATTTGCCTTGCTGCCTCACTCCCGAGTCTGTTTTGTGTTCTACCAGGACTCCTAAATTTGGGAGCTTGTCTTATTTCTTACATAAGTTAGCCAGATACTACATATATATCAATATGGGTAGTTCTCAAAAACAAAAATAGAGTAGAAAGTGCAACTTGCACATAAGAAATGTACTGCATGATCCCAATAATGGGAATTTTAACAATACTGACTGAATACTATATATGGTATCCTATATAATAAAAGGGTAATATACAAATAGACCAAATGGCAGAACAACCAATCGAAGCGTAATATGCTAATGATATGCTAAGGCTGCTCAACTGCTCGCTATGATGTGCACTGACCACCAGGGGGCAGACAGTCAACTGGTCAAGCAGTTGTTATGTTGTGCACTGACAACCAGGGGGCAGATGCTCCAACCAGTTGGTTAGCTTGCTGCTGGGGTCCAGCTGATCGGGACTGAGCGAGATGGGCTGAACATGCCCTGGAGCCCTCCTGCAGTCCCTCCCTGTGGGGTCTTTCAGCCTGGACTGCACCCTCTCGCAATCCGGGACCCCTTGGGGGATGTCAGAGAGCAGGTTTCAGCCTGATCCCTCAGGCCACTCCCCTTGGAAGGGCACCAGATGCAGGGCTCATGGCTGGTGAGCGCTGCTGTGACAGCGTGAAACTCTCCCTATTGGGACAGACTGGGCGCGAGCCTGAGGCAAGCATAGTGGGGTCAGGAAGAGCAGAAGCCGCAGGTAGGAGCTGCGGGCAGCGTTGGACTGCAGGTTTTGGCCCAATCCCCACAGGCCACCCAGAGGGACCCCATCTGTGCACAAATTCATGCACTGGGCCTCTAGTATGTGTGTGTATAGATAAATAGATAGATAGATAGATAGATAGATAGAGATAGAGATAGATGTAGATATAGATATCTCACAGGCATTTGGAGGGTTAAATAAATTAGTTTATCTCAAGTGACTTATCAGGTGATCAGGGCCTGGTACCTTTTGACCAAGTATGGATTTGCTTCCTATTTTACTACATATTATTATATGGCTTATAGATTATGGCTTATGCTAATCTATTTCATCCCTTGAAGTATACTGAAGGCCATTGTGGGAGGGTCAAAAGGGGGCAGATATGGGGGAATGGGAAGAGTGGGCCTTAAGAAAATACCCAGGCAAGGTGGGTTCTATGGCTAGGCTGTTGGTCACAACCAGTCCTGGAGAAAATGGTAAGACTTGCTCACCATAAACTCTTGGTGACAGCTCCCTTTGGTTTTTCGTATCCAGAGCAGAGAGACCCAGAGCAAGCTACCCGTGACTGCAGTCTAATAGGGGTGTGGGTAGGAAAGTGCACAGTACTGGAGGATCATGGCAAGAGGAGGTGCATTCAAGGCATTCCTTCACGCCAGGCCATGGGACCTTGAGCACATCACATACGTTTCTCCAAGCCTCAGTTTCCCTAATTGGAAATTGTGGATATAACTAGAATTTTCCTCCTGGGAATCATGTTAAAGTTAAGACTGTAATGTATGTAAAAACCAAACAAGTGCTGGGAACATATGAGACTTTAAAGTTGGGGGGAAGTAAGCTATTGTTATCAT